ACTCTCTAAGATCCTGCAGAGAGGTGTGGACAGCAATTAGCAGCCTGATTTCCTGCTGTCGTGCCGGGTAAGATGTGAAGGGAATGAGATCTTTTAGCGCCCTGCCCTCCCGGGGGTCCCTCTCCTTACCCCGGAGGACGCGGGCATTTCTCGCCCCACGGCCCTTCAGCGCCGTAGCAGCTACCACCGCCGCCATGTTCAGGTCCCACCCCCTTCACTGCGCTCCCCGCCGGGAATTGTAGTTTGCGTAAGGGGCCTCCCCCGCGCCTTCCGTCCTGCCTACAGATCAGAAACTACATTTCCCAGAAGTCCGCGTAGCGGACCCGGGAGAACTACTCCTCCCAGGAGACCCCGGAGGCGCGCACGCTCGCTTGTTTCCCTCCAGCTGGGGGCGGAGTCATGTCGGGCGGAGCTTGGGTTCTCCCGCCACGCCCCGGCCTGGTCATCCCAGTTTTGCCTTGTGATTGGCGGCTCTGTCAGTCCACCTCTGTCGCTATTGGTCCGGATTCCGTCGCTCTTTCGGCTGGGAGTCACCTACGCCTACTTCCTCCCGGGAGGAGGGGCTCGAGTTCCGCGTCGTCGCGCAGAGCTGACTCTGGGAGGCGTTTGGGCCCAGAGAAGTGGATCGGGAGGTTTCGCCGCATGGAGTCCGAATCAGAGAGCGGAGCGGCCGCTGACACCCCGCCGCTGGAGACTCTAAGCTTCCACGGAGATGAAGAGATCATTGAGGTGGTAGAGCTGGATCCAGGCCCGCCCGACCCGGGTGAGAACTGTCGCTCCTGAGGCCATGGGACAGGAGGCGCTCACCCCTGGCCTCTGACCCCTGCTTTTCCCCCTCCCCCCTTTCCTACCGGTCGTTCCTACCGACATTTCTTTCCCAACCCTCCTTCCCTACCCCCACATTAGTTTCGAGGCCTGGCTGGGTGGGGGTTCCCTGACGCCTCCCCTGGCCCTTCCCCTCACACACCCCCTTCCCATCATGCCCTCTGTCCTCTCTACCCACACGGTCGCTGGCCAACGCCAGGTCCTCAGACCTAGCCTCTCTCCCCTTCTCAGCCCCCCAAGCGCTCTGCTTCTGCTCGGTACGTGTGGGACGACGCCTTCACCTTTGGCCACACCACCCATCCCCAGCGTCGCTCTATTCTCTCTTCACCCCTCACCCCTTTCCTCTTAGATCTTTCGAGATCCATCTTTTAACGCTTTTCCCAAAACAGATGATCTGGCCCAGGAGATGGAAGACGTGGACTTTGAGGAAGAGGAAGAAGAGGAAGAGGGCAATGATGAGGGCTGGGTCCTGGAACCCCAGGAAGGGGTGGTCGGCAGCATGGAGGGCCCGGATGATAGCGAGGTCACCTTTGCATTGCACTCAGGTAGGGCTTTGAGGGGAATCACCTCAGGTCAGTGCAGATGGACGTTTGAGTATGATCCGTTGACCATAGGCAGGGTATTATGAGAGACAAATGGGAAAGCCTGCTGGAAATTCATAGGAAGGGCCAAAGGGATTAGGCTTTTCTGTGGGGCTAAGTGCGACACCAAGGTTCAAATCCTACCTCTGCTGTTTAGCAGTTTATCGCCTTTGTTAGCTTTCTGGATCTTGGTGTTCTTTTTTTTTTTTTTTTTTAAAGCCATCTTGGAAGCTTTAATCCCAGCACTTGGGGAGGCAGAGGCAGGCAGATCTCTAAGTTCGAGGCCAACCTGGTCTACAGGACAGCTAGGGCCACACAGAGAAACCCTGTCTCAAAAAACAAAACCAAAAAAGTTGTCTTGCATGAAAGTGACCAGAAGTAGCCCTAGTGGAAATGAAGGCAGTGACATTCCAAATGAGCATTAACAGCAGACTTCTCAGGAGCTGGCTCTTAGTAAGCCCGCCCCACGATGCTCTCATCCCTTCATTCATCCCCAGCCTGGTGGTAGGTATCCTGTGCTGTTAGCTGTGCACATGGACCCACCTCTTGACCTGTACCTCAGAGTGGGATGGTGAAGGGAACGGAACAGCAGGGGGACATGCTCTGGAGGACGACTTGAGGATTTCTCTAACACCCTAATGCTTCAAACAAGAACTGGATATAACCTTTCCAGGAGAGAATACCTATGGCTCTGGGGGAAGGGGTTGCACTGAAAGACAGGATTCTAGGTGAGAGCCCAGTTCCATCCCCTTTCTCGTGGACTATCTCTTGGGACAGCATCCGTGTTTTGTGTGAGCCTGGACCCCAAAACCAACACCTTGGCAGTGACTGGGGGTGAAGATGACAAGGCCTTCGTGTGGAGGCTCAGCGACGGGGAGCTGCTCTTCGAGTGTGCAGGTGAGAGGCTGGGCATCTTGGCAGATGGCTTGCATGAACACCTGGCAGCTGTTTACTAGCCTCTGTCTCATGCCGGATCCTGGAAGCCACTAATGTTCTTCCTCTTCTGCCACTTTCTGCTCTTTAAGGTTATATAGTTTGGGTTGGCCTTGGATTTACTATGTAGCCAAGGCTGGCTTCGAACTCGCTACACCTCTCGGGCAAATTTGAACTCAAAATCTGCCCATTTCTTTTTGCAGGCCATAAGGACTCTGTGACGTGTGCTGGTTTCTGCCATGACTCCACCCTCGTGGCCACGGGGGACATGAGTGGTCTTTTGAAAGTATGGCAGGTCGACACCAAGGAAGAAGTCTGGTCCTTTGAAGCAGGAGACCTGGAGGTGAGATCCTTGGAGTGGGCTTCAACTCTGGGGGACCCCAAGTAGAGATGAGCACTGCTGGGAGGGGCAAGCCTAGCTCTCCTGGAGACACTCGCCTTGAACCACAGCACGCCAGCTCCAGCAATGTATCTGTTCACCTGTAATGTTCGCGCTAGCCTTAGAAGCAGGGACACCAGGGTGGGGTTCATGGACTCTTAGACAGGCTGGGTAACAGACTTTGCTTACTGAGCCTTCCTCTCTGCCCAGTGGATGGAGTGGCACCCTCGGGCACCTGTCCTGTTAGCGGGCACTGCTGACGGCAACACTTGGATGTGGAAGGTGCCAAATGGTGACTGTAAGACCTTCCAGGGCCCCAACTGCCCTGCAACCTGTGGCCGTGTCCTTCCTGATGGTGAGAGAGCTGTCTCTTCTTGGGGGTAGAGGTGAATCCAGTGACTTGGGGGTACTCCAGTCATCCCAGCCTCTGCCTGCCCCATACTAGGACTTCCCTTGACTTGAGGGGGAATTTGGGTACCCCCTACTCTATTCTACCTGCTCAGTGTACCCTCTGTGTTTTGGTCATTCATGCCTTGGTCCTTAGGGAAGAGAGCTGTGGTAGGATATGAAGATGGAACCATCAGGATTTGGGACCTCAAGCAGGGAAGCCCCATCCATGTACTGAAAGGTATCAGAGGAGGAGGGTGTTGAGCTTCGTTTGGGGAGCCTGAGAGCCTGTGCAGGACTCAGCCTATGTATCCCTGCTCTGTCCTAGGGACTGAGGGTCACCAGGGCCCTCTGACCTGTGTTGCCACCAACCAGGATGGCAGCCTAATCCTCACTGGCTCTGTGGACTGCCAGGCCAAGTTAGTCAGTGCTACCACTGGCAAGGTAAGTAGCCTGTCTGAACCTTCTGCCCCTCCCCTGCCCTTTTCCTCTTAAGTTACAGGACCTGGAACTCAGTTCCGTGACCCTCTTCTCTTACCTGTAGGTGGTGGGTGTGTTCAGGCCTGAGACAGTCGCCTCCCAGCCCAGCCTGGGCGAGGGAGAGGAGAGTGAGTCCAACTCCGTGGAGTCCTTGGGCTTCTGCAGTGTGTGAGTGTGAGCAGAGTCTTGGCCTGGAAACCGGAGGCGGAGGGAGGAGGTGGCTTTGCAGAGGGACCCAGTCATTAGGACCAGGGAGGAGGGAAGGAAGGTACATAAATCCCGAGCCTCGAGAGCCTTCCTTGTTCTTCTGCTTCCAAGGATGCCTCTGGCTGCTGTTGGCTATCTGGATGGAACCTTGGCTATCTACGACCTGTCCACGCAGACACTCCGGCACCAGTGTCAGCACCAGGTATGGTGTCTGGGGCTTTGTTTCTACTCAGCGGGCTGTTGTGCTGGCTAAGAGGCAGTCTGTCCTCTGTGGCCCTGTGCCCCGCTCTTTCTGAGCGTGGGGACAGTGTCTTCTCCTCTCCGTCCTGACTTTTGCCCTATTCTGTTACTGTGTCACATTCCGGGACAGTCGGGCATTGTTCAGCTGCTGTGGGAGGCTGGCACTGCTGTGGTATACACCTGTAGCCTGGATGGCATTGTTCGTCTCTGGGATGCCCGGACTGGCCGCCTTCTTACTGACTACCGGGGCCACACTGCTGAGATCTTGGACTTTGCCCTCAGCAAGTAAGCATAATGGGCTGGCAGCTCTAGAAAGTGGGTCTGGTGTGGGGTAGCACAGGTTTTTGGGGAACAGGAGACGATTTCTAAGGGAAATCAGACCCAATGCCTGGTTTCTTCCTTTGAAGAAGGAATGAATGCCAGGTCACCTGTGCAGTCACAGTCCTGAGATCTTCTATCCCCACCCATTGTGGGGCAGGGTGCTGAGGATGAACCTGTTCCCCTTGGATCTGTCTTGTTCCCATACTAGGGGTTTCCTTCATGGATTCTCTTGCAGTTTCCATAGACATAGTCAGGTCAGTTCCCTGGCTTTGGGGGGAGGGCTTGAGAACCAGGTGCAGACTCAGCTGGGGCCCTGGAGTGGACGCGGTGCTGGAACAGCTGCCCTAGGATCTCTGGGGCATGGGCCTCAGGTTCTTCGGTAATTTCACCCGTTTTCTGTCCACAGAGATGCCTCCCTGGTGGTGACAACATCAGGAGACCACAAAGCGAAAGTGTTTTGTGTCCAGAGACCTGACCGTTAGCTGCGGCTCTGGCATGGTGTCTGGTGTTGAGGGGTAAAGGGAAACCCCTGCCCTCTCTTCCCCCAGCAGAGGTGCAGGGTGCAGAGGGAAAAGGAGGGGAGGGCGTTGGACTGCTTTCCAATCCCTTCAGCTGACCTGCCCACTCCTTGTCCTTTTTTCCCCTGGAAACCCACCTTACCAGGCCCTCCCTCTCCTGTCCAGCCCTGGGGCCCTTTAGGGGGCCCATGTTTCTTTCACTTTGATTTGCTGGTGTGAGCCATGGGGTGCGTCTTTGTATGTCGGGGGGGGGTAGGTCTTTGAGGTTCCCGTTCTTTCCCTTCCCAACTCTCTGGGGAAGGAAAGGAGGAAGAGAGACTAGTTACAGATTTTAAAAATGTAAATAAAATATACTTCCCAGAGGCAGTGTCTGTGTGCATTTTGTGGCGGCTGGACAGAACAGTGCTTAGTTGGAGGTGAAATCTCTTTGGTACTCAGTCCGTCTCTGGGTCCGTCTAAGGCAGTCAACCTGCCTCTCTCCCTTACTGAGATATGGAAGGAGATAACTTGAAATGGTAGCCAGAGATTTATTTGGTCAGGGTGAGGTCTCGTGGAGCAAGGGCTTCAACTCAGAGAAGTAGGGCATAAGAGATGGATGAATGCTCCTGGGGGGCAGCAGTAGCTCTGCTTCCCTAGTTCAAGTTCAGGTCCATGCTGCTTTGGCTGCTGGGGTGGTAGGCAGTGGTGCCGGGGCCTGGACTGTCCCTCTTGGCCCTTCCTCGAAGCACTCGCAGCCACCTTTGGGCAGCTGCCCTCCATGGGGCTGTGTAGCGCTGATCGCCCAGACCCATGGCCACAGGCACAGCTGCAGCACTGGCACTGCCCAGTGAGATGAGAGCTAGCAGAGTTCCCGGCCCTAGTGGTGGACGCCGCTCATAGGCCAGCACTGACAGGAGCAGTGTGGCCACATAGGGTCCCCAACACAGCAAAAAGAGCAACGTGGCTCCTGCCTGCGCCCTAGCCTGCCTCCAGGTGAGAGTCCTGGCCAGGGTTGAGGGAGTATCACGGCACACTGCCCGCTCCAGTCGGCAGATATCCTGCAGCTGGCGGTAGGCAGTAGCCAACACTCGGACAGACAGAAGGGCAGCAGCTCCCACAGCAGGCAAAAGGAGCCCATAGACTTCGAGGTAGAGGTAGGGGGCTGGGAAGACAGCTTGGGAGCTGCAGTTGGCACCAGGACTCCAATGGTTCCAGCCCAGAGCAGGCAGGCTGGCAAAAAGCAGGGGGCTGGCCCAGGTGAGGAGCAGGGCTAGCCGCATACTCCCATGGGGCCGGAGTGGCTGCAACACCGCCACGTATCGCTCCCCATGCACTAGCAGCAGGTTGGCAAGCAGGGAGAGGAAAGAGAAGTTGGGGGCCAAGTGGAGAAAGAGACAGGACCAGTAGCCCCGGTGGCTCCTGCTCCACAGCCCAGGGAGCATGGGTAGTGCCAGCCCTGTGAATAGCCCGGCCAGTAGCAGGCTCAGGAAGAAGCAACCAGCAGGTGGGCTGCGCAGGTGGCGGTCCAGGGCGATGCCTAGGGCTAGGAGCAGGTTGGCAACAACGATGAAACTTGACAGGGCCAGGGAAATCCCCAGTACCCCCTTGGGAATGGAGCTGGCCACCTCCCCAGTGTTGTTGGGTGTCATCATGGGCCTTGGCATATGGAAGGCCTGAAGCTGCAGTCAGCATGCCTGTATGGAAGAGTGGCCAGAGTTAGGTTGGAGCTGCAGTCACTTCCTGGGGGGAGGTGGGGACGGGACAGCACATTAACATAGAGGCTGGAGACTCAGACTGGGCCATACCCTGTTTGCTGATACTCTGATACTGATTTTCTCAGAAACGTAAACAATTATATAGGGAAGTCATGCTTTTGGTTTTGCTTGGAAAATCAATTCTAGCAAGAGTTCCCTGTATGGTATCTTAGAGGCTGCCCTTCAGGCAATAACCACCTTTGGGCAGCTTCACCTATTTCTGTCATCCTCCAGCCTCAGGGCAGCTGTGTTTACAAGTCTGTCTGGATTGGAAGGCAACCTACCCAAAGCATGTCAACCTCTACTAGCACACATTGGGGTGCCAAGAGAGGACAGTGGCCGGCCAGACAGCCATGGTGTGAGAGGCTCCTGAAGGCACAGAGTGCCCTGTCCCTGCACCCCCACCCTGTTACACTTGGAGCCTGTTACAGCTCAGTGAACAGCCTCCGGGTAGGACTTCCAGCCCATAAACTTGACTCGTTCACTCCACACTAGCAACAGGCCCTTCCTGGGAACTAGAGGGAAGTGTGGGGAGATGCTTGGCAAGGAGTTGGGGGTGCTAAGAACAGAGAGGACCCCCCCCCCAACCTCTAAACATAGGCTGAGCCCAGGGCACAAGGCAGAGCCTCCAAATGGACCCTGTTGCTTTCTTTCACTTGGCTGCCTAGTCTCAGCCCCAGGCCACATGCAAGGGCCAGTGGGAGGGGTCCTGGATCCTGTCAACAGGGGAGCATCTGCTGTTGCTAGGATCAAAGTCAATACGGAAGGATTCTGCCCTCCCATCCTGTGGCCTCTCCCAGGACCTGCATCAGCTCTATGGTTACCTTGGCTGAGAGATGCTCTCCTATCCCAACAGCTCCCAAAACTGCACTCCTGATCTTTTCCCTCCCTTGGCCTTACTCTTTATCAGTCTCCCCCAAAGGCCCTCTAGTTTGTTCCCCTTCCTCCCTACACCGTCCACTTCTGTTAAACTACTGAGACCTAGCTCGCAGCCCTTTAGTCCCTCACCGGCCTCCCTCAGAGTAAAGAAAGCTAGAGATCTACAGCCAGTGTTAGTGACCTGGTGGGGTGGGAATGGTGTCTCCCGAGTACTCCAGTGGCTTTCACCACTGCACTGACTTCTTCAGGATGGGACCGGAGGGGCTGGGGTGTAGCTACTCACATGGCTCTTAGGAACAGGTGGTGCTTGCTAGCTGGGCCTTCCTCTGAGGATCAGAGTCACAGCAGCCACTCTTCAGGGCTTCAGGTCATGCCTGGTGTCCTGGCCCATGACTGCCTGTTGCTCCTATGCTGGGGAAGGCAGGAACCAGGCTCAGGCTCTGCTCTGGTCTGGATTCCTGAAAGGATGGAGGAGTCAGGGCTGGAGGGCCTCAGTCTTGGCTCCGCCTCCGGGGTGGGACTTGGCACATCCTGTCTGCTTTTACTGAGAGACCTCCTCTTCTGTCTCGTGAACCCTTCCCTAGCAGTCTGCCACATCATGAAACCTAGGTGTTTTCCTCACCGCTGAGAACCTTCTTGCCAGGCTCATCTGGGGAATACGTTCCCAGCCAATGAACGACTGACACATAACACCTCCCCGCAGCACCCCCAGCTAATAGAGCTGGTTAGGTATCTTAAACCCTGGATGGCCACAGCAGCCCACAGCCAGCTACATACACCAAAGAATAGTGTGCATACAAGATGGGGGTCGGGTGGCGGTTGGGGCTGGGACCTGAGAATCTTCACTGATGAGCCTTTTATTTTTATATTTTTTATTCATTTTTGTTGTTTTTTGGTTTTGGTTTTTTTGAGACAGGCTTTCTCTGCAACAGTCCTAGCTGTCCTGGAACTCACTTTGTAGACCACGTTGACCTTGAACTCACAGAGATTTGCCTGCCTCTGTAGGGCTGAGGTTAAAGGCACGTGCCACCATTGCCAGGCTTAGATGAGGTTTGTAGTTTAGAAATCCAGCCTTGTCCTCCTTAGTCTGGGAGTCATGCTGCATACCTCTCAACCTGTTTTGTTGTGAGACAGGGTCTCATATTGCCCTGACTGATCTCAAATTCCTAAGTGGTATCGCTTTGAACTTCTGATCCTTTTGCCTTCACCCCCAAGTACTAAGGTTATAGCTTTGTCACTGTGTCTGCGAACCATACTACAGACAGGTTATAGAACTCACAGACTCATTCATTAGGTTAGTACTCTTATCAACTCAGTTACATCCCTGGTCCTCAACTGTTTTCTCGGTCAAATTTTGGGTTATGCATAAGGCACAAGTGGATACGGTGTAGAGGTTCAAGCCCGTAAATCCCAACACTCGGGAGGCTGATCAGGGGGGATCAGTGTAGTTTGAGGCTAGCCTGGGTTACAGTGAGCCTATTTCAATGCTGTCAATCCCCCTCCCCCAAAGTAAAATCCACATATTGGGGTTGTAGTAGGGAATGTCATGGGGTAACAGAGGACCTGTGGATACAATGCTTGACGGTACTGAGGGGAGGTCAGCTCAAATGACTGATTTTTTTCCTCCATGGGCTGGGAGGCATACACTGTGGTCGGCACGGCAGGGCTGGCGGTTGTCCTGTTGCTTTAGCTGTGCAAACCTGGGCAAATGGTTGAAGTTCTCTCAACTTAGTTTTGCTCTTCTTTCTCTCTCTTTTTTGTTTTATTTTTGGTTTTTTGAGACAGAGTTTCTCTGTAGCTTTGGAGCCTGTACTGGAACTAGCTCTTAGCTCTTGTAGACCAGAATGGCCTTGAACTCACAGAAATCCACCTCCCTCTTGCTGGGATTAAAGTCATGTGCCACCACCACCCGGCTCTTTAAATCTATTTATTTATTTATTTATTTATTTTGAGGCAGGGTGTCTCTGTGTAACCGCTCTGACTCTGACTGTCCTGGAATTCACTTTGTAGTTCAGGCTGTTCTCAAATTCACCGAGATTCACCTGCCTCTGCCTCCTGAGTGCTGGGATTACCGGTGTGCGCCACCACGGCCAGACAGAATTTTGTTTATCTGCATAGTGGACCTCAAAATTGTACTTCCCTACACCAGGTTTGTAATCCTAGCTCTGGTGCTGAGACATGGTTGCAGCCAGCTTCAGAAACATAGTGAAACCTTGTTTCAAACCAACAAACCAAACCAAACAAACAAAAGAAAAAAGAGCCGCCCCCTCCAGCAAAGGCGGTAACAGGAACCAGAGCAAACCCTTGGCTCTTGAGTACTTCATTCCTGTAAATGCTAACATCATCAGGATTTCTGCTCCTCTCTGCACCTATCCCTTCCACACAAGCACTCTGATGAGAAAGGCAGACAGGGAGCCTAGGAAATCAAAGGAATGGGCTTTTTTGATCTATAGGAAAACCGAGGAAATTAAGTATAGGGAGAGAAGGTCATGTTCACAGCATGGAAGCCAAGCGCTCTGTGTCTGTGTCTGATTTGCACTTGGACAGCTTTAGGCGTGAGGGGAGGACAGGAGCCCAGCTGAACTCCTTAAGGACTGCAACAGACACAGACTGTAGCAAGACAGCCGGAAAGGAGAAGAGACCAACCTCCTTCCAGAGAAGAACTTCAGTTCCCTTGGAGAAATGCAGCCCCAAAGGCTAGAGGTTTGAGAACTCTGGCACTGTTTGCCCTACAGCACACATTCCTGGGTCCTGCGGAGGTGGGGCTACTGCTGGGAGACTAAGCAGAGCAGCCTCAAACCCATCCTCCAGGAGCCGGCCCAGTCTCAGGCCCCCGCAGTGGCAGTGGGGCGTGAGTCAGGCTCTGGGAGAGTTGTCTGGGGCTGTACTGAAGTGGTGCAAGACCCCTTGGATGCAGGGCTGCCAGGAATAAACAGTCTTCCGTTCCCAGCCTCCTTCCCCAGAGATTCAGATGTCTGTTTCTTCTCTGCTCTATCTAAACACTGTGTGTGGCATGACGTGTAATGGGGACAGCACAGGCAGTGGGAGCTGGAGAGCCTGGGTTCTGTCTGGTGCTCAGCTCAGCTTCTCCTTCACCAACTCATCTGCTTCCTCTATGTCAATCCCTTGGCCATGATGGTTTCTTTTGCCCTTCCCACCCCACAGGAGGAGGGAGGGTGCAAGTATTCAGATGCCCCACCTGCGGCCTGTGGCCCTGACTGCTGTCCTCCTGACAGAGAACATGTGCTGGGGTAGACAATCCAGACTGTCCCAGAAGCCTCACAGACCTCCCTGGTCCACTTTTGCAGTTACTCTGGACCAGCGAGGCTGATGAAGCTTCCCGTACTCTGAATTGCTTTCCCAGCTACTACTTAACCCCACCACCAAGCATACACCAATGAGACAGTAGCCCAGGCTAACCTTGAACTCCTGACCTCCTACCTCAGACTCCCAAGTGCTGGGATCACTGGTTTGCATGATCATACCCAGCTGGCCAGCACTTAAAGCTGATATGGTTATGTACCTTCTAGACAGTGGTCCTCAACCTTCCCAATGCCTCGACCCTTTAATACAATTCCTGGTGTTGTAGTGACCATAAAACTACTTTTTGTTGCTACTCATAATTGTCATTTTGCTACTGTTATGAATTATAAATGTCTACGTTTCTAATTGTCTCAGTAATCTCTGTGAAAGTGGTCGCAACCTATATATATATTGAGAATCATTGTTCTAGATATTGTAACAGGCTTGCCAGGTCACTGGCTAACCCTGAACTCCTGACCTCCTGCCTCAGACTCCCAAGTGCTGGGATCACTGGTTTGCACTACCATACCCAGCTGGCCCACACTTTAAAGCGGATGTGGATATATACCTTCTAGACAGTGTAAGACTGGTCAGGAAGCTGGCTTTGAGAACCCCCTACTCAGCCGCGGAGGCAGAAGAAACTGTCCTTAAACCTGGATGGCTGGATTAGCCCACAACAGTAACCAGTTGAGCACTGGCGTATCCTGTGCGAGATCCTTGAATCCCAGCAGTCCAAACACATCCTCTCTCACTCTCCCTCAGCTTGGGTTTTGGGGAGGACTGAACAAGCAGGGGTGTGTCAGCGAGCCCTAGGCAGATGGCAACTGATGTCAACTGCCACAGACGACCATCTACAAGGACTTATGTAGCAGTTAGGTCAGGGTTTTCTCCTGTATCTAACAGCTCCTCTGCTGCGTACTGCAATGCCATTTCCTTTCCTGCTAAACATGTTTCATTCAGATCTGGAGAGCCCTACCCTCCTACCCGATAAAGAAAGGGGAAGAGTACAACCATTTTAGGGAAGGTCTGGAAAGCCCGAGACATAAAGAAGCTTGACTTTTCCCACTTATCCAACAGTCCTTTTCAGCCCTCCAGGTGTATAAAGGGGTGTGTGTGTGGGGGGGGGAGGTAAGGTAAGGTAAGGTAAGGTAAGGTAAGGTAAGGTAAGGTAAGATAAGGTAAGGGGAAGAGATCGTAGAGATGTTGACAGTACATACTGCTATTGCAGAGGACCCAAGTTTGGCTCCCAGCATTCATGCTGGGCGACTCATAACTTTCTGTAACTCCAGATTCAGGGACATCCGATGCTTCTGGTCTCCACGGGAACCTGTACTCATGTACACTTACCCACACACATAATTTAAAATTTAAAAGAGAACATGGCTGTTACAGATCTACAGCATAGCTCAGTTGTGGCTGAGTACACCACTAGATGTCAGTCTAGCACACGAGGCTTTGGAGTCCATCCCTAGCACTGGGTGGGGGAGGACTCTATCCAAACACATATCTGTGCCTATATGCATTAGAGATGCCTATGCTATATGACATGCACTTATGTGTTCATTCCCCATCAATTTAAAACTGGAGTACTTGGATTACAAGTGTGAGTCACTATGTCCAATTCAAAGTGTATTTTCTTTCCCATTTAGTATGCACTAATTATATATGTCCCATCACATTTTCCTACAGGCATGCAACATATAACCATACTTATTTGGTACCCTATCCCAATAAGCCTGCTGACTCCTGTCCTCTTCCCAGCTGTCCTTTTCCTTTTTTAAAGGATTCAGTGAATTCATCAGAGCTGTTTACAGGAGCATTAACACCTTACCAGTGGCTAAATTACTAAGAAAACGTCTCTTCCTCATCCAGTCAGCATGGATTCAGGATGTTGGCAAAATATTGTAGAATTGGACAGAATTTACTATTACAAAAATGTTTAATGCCATTATACTTTTCTCCTACAATTTCTTTCTTTTGAAACAGGGTTTCTCTATGTAACCACCCTGGCTGTCCTGAACTCACTTTGTTGACCAGGTTGACCTCAAACTCAGAGATCAATTTGCCTCTACCTCCCACGTGCTGGGATTAAAGGTGTGCACCACCATGCCCGGCTCCTATAATACTTCTTTAAATCTCTCTAATGCCTCAGAGACCCCCAAAGAATAGAGGTTATTGCTATTATTATTGATTACCTGCCAGAACTATATGGTAAGAACCTACTGGGGTTTTGTTTGAGACAAGGTCATACCACACAAGGCCTGGAATTCACAGAAACCCACCTGATTTTATTTCCTGAGGACTGTGTGTTTGTGTGTGGACGCAGGTCCCTGCTGAGGGTAAAAGACTGGATACCCTGGAGCTGGAGTTAGAGGCAGTTGTGAGCTGCCTGCCTAATGTGGGTGCTAGGAATCCAAGTCCTGTCCTCTGAAAGAGCAGTACACGCTTTCACTATGTATGTATGTATGTACCAATCGATTTATTTGCTTATTTACTTTTGGTTGTCCTGAAACTCACTCTATAGACCAGGCTGGCCTAGAACTCACAGATATTCACCTGCCTCTGCCTCCTGAGTGCTGAGATTAAAGGTGTGAGTCACTACTACACGGCTTTTAATCTTTATGTTCTTTCAAGTCCTGACCCTACACTGAAGACTACAGGCTTTGTTTAAAGCACACAGAAAAACCGAGGAACTAAGCCAGCATGATCTTACCCAGCTAAAGACCAGTATGCTACAGTACTGAACCACAAGAAAGATCTGGGACACCACTAACAGTGACATTGAGTACTGTGGGGGTAACCAGCTGCTTTGTGATTGGCTACACAAAGTAGCCTGGTAACATAAACCTGACGGCTTAACAGGGTGACACACCATGGTTGTTTCCCTCTAATTGAGTATGTTTTTTTTTTAAGATTTATTTATTTATTATGTACACAACATTCCTTCCATGTATGCTTGCATGCCAGAAGAGGGCACCAGATCTCATTATATGGCTGTGAGCCACCATGTGGTTGCTGGGAATTGAACTCAGGACCTCTGGAAGAGCAGTCAGTGCTCTTAACCTCTGAGCCATCTCTCCAGCCCCATCTAATTGAGTATGTTGTCAAACTGTTTTCTAAAATATTCATACCCACAGGCTATTCAGCTCTCAGCTGGGGGCAAGGAAGCTCATTTTTGTAGAGTGTGATGGTTAATACAGAGGCTTGATTCTGGCCAAAACATTTAGAGTAAGTGATTGATAAGTCATATCAATCTCTGCCTCCTTCTTGCAGCCAAAGCTGGGGAGCATCATAAAAGATGAGGTAGTTGGAATGAAAATGGTCCCCATAGGCTCATAGGGAATGACATTTTTTTTAAAGTATTAGGACATGTGGCTCTGTTGGAGTAGGTGTGGCCTAATTGGAGGAAGTGTGTCACTGGGGGTGGGTGGGCTTGGAGGTTTTAGAAGCTCAAGCAAAGCCCAGTGTGGCTCTCTCTCTTCTCCTGATTCCTGATACCAGATATAGAACTCTAAGCTACCT